CCTTATGCTTCTCCCCCCTTTGACAACATCAAAAAGAGACAAATCACGCCATGAAAAGTATTATTATTCACACAAATACAAATATAATCACACAGATGCATTTTGCAAAAGTAAAAACGTGCACTCACATATATCCCATATGCATGGAGTGACGCAAAGAATAAACATAAATGCAAATGCATGAAAGATGATGAATGTAATGCACTAGCAAACTCTTGAATCTTAATCGCTTCAAAAACGTCACACTTATGTAACACTTCACATTTTTGCTCCCGATGCTGTACACGCATGTGCCTAGCTTGGAGAAAGATAAATCACCACTAAAACCAAAATCAAAGATGCTAACATAAAATGATACATGACTTGATCAAGAATTTCATTTGCACTAAACATGCTCAAATTACATGAATTAGAAGATTTTATAATAAAAAACATGTTTGTACACCAAGACCATATTACTTTAAATGAGAAAGAATCAATATCATGAAGTCACTCTAAGCATATAAATTGACACATATTATAGTTATCAATTGAAATTTTGGAAGTGAACATTCATGAAATATATCATATATTGAGCATATCAAACATTTGGAAAGTAAACAACATTGCATTAAGAAAAAAGGTTTACTTTCAAGGAGAAAAGGAACAAAATGACCTCATAGATAAATGGAATGGAGGATGCACTCACATAGTTTGAAACTCTCAAATGAACGTTAGAGCAATATATATATATATATATATATATATAATATATATATATATATATATATATATATATATATATATATATATATATATATATATATATATATATATATATATATATATATATATAATATATATATATATATATTATATATATATATATATATATATATATATATATATATATATATATTATATATACTTATATATATATATATATGCAACAAATATATTTAGGAGACATTTGAGATATCAAGATTCCTCAATTCCATTCGAATGTTGAAAAACGGTTTGGTTGCAAGAGGTTTTGTAAAGACATCCGCAAGATGATTTTTACTATCAACATGATCAAATACAACATCCCATTTTTCAACATGGTCACATAGGAAATGCTGACGAATCTCAATGTGCTTAGTGCGAGAATGTAACACTGGATTTTTGATTAAGTTAATCGCACTAGTTTTGTCGCACAAGATATGAATACGAGAAATTTTAATATTAAAGTCAAGTAATTGTTGTTTGAGATACAAAATTTGGGCACAACAACTACCGTCTGCTACTTTATTCTACCTCGGTCGTTGACAAAGCCACGTAAACTTGTTTCTTGTTATGCCAACTAACGAAGGAATTTGAAAACATGATGATAAGTTTCACTAGTACTTTTCCTATCTGAATTGAAATCGACAAAATTGGAATTGGAATAACCAAACAAGATACAATCTCTTCATTTGGAATACCCAAGCCCATACTTTAGATGTACCATGTAGGTATCTAAGAATGCATTTAACGACTTTTAAATGATTCCCTAGGAGTCGATTGATATCAGACGCACACACAAACGCGAAATATGATGTTAGGCCTAGATGCAGTAAGATATCAAAGAGACCCAAAACATACCTCTATATTTCTTCATATTCACATCCATACCATTTACATATTTATCCAAGTTACCATTTATTGACATTAGAGTGTCAATTGATTTAGCCTCATCCATGTCAAATCGTTTTAGCAATTTGCGTTTGACACACAAATGTTCCTTCATTGAGTTATTTGATTTGAAGTCCAAGGAAGTAATTCAACCTTCCCATTAGACTCATTTCAAATCCCTCCCGCATAAGCTTAGAAAACTCCTTGACCAAATGCATGATAGTAGAAATAAATATGAGATCGTCAATATAAACTTGAACTATAAATTCATATTTTCCTTTATGTTTAATGAATAATGTTGTATATACCTTCCCTCTAGAATATCCTTGATCAAGTAAGAACTTGCTAAGTCGCTCATTACCAATCCCTAGGGGCTTATTTGAGATCATACAAAGCACATTTTAACTTGAAAAAATGATTAGGATACTCATGATTTTCAAAACCACGAGGTTGAGCAACATACACTTCCTTATTAATGTGTCCATTAAGGAAATCACTCTTCACATCTATTTGAAATAATTTAAAATTCTTAGAGCATGCATAGGGCTAGTAAAGGCATCTAGCCCAAGTCAGACAACCGGAGAATAAGTTTCATCATAATTTATACCCTCATCTTGGTTATATCCTTGAGCCACTACCCTGGCCTTATTTCTAGTTATCACTCCGTGTTCGTCTAGTTTATTTCTAAAATCCATTGGGTGCCTATGACTTGATGATCTCGCGACGAGGGACGAGGTCTCATACGCCATTTCTTTTCAAATTGATTCAACTCATCTTGCATAGGCATATGACAATATTCATCAAGTAAGGCATCTTTTGCATTTTTAGGTTCAACTTGTAAACACGAATCCAAAGTGGTAACATAAACTACTTATCTTAGAGAGAGTTGTTACTCCTTTTACTGATGTGTCCAAGAATGTTTTCGATTAGATGATCCTTGGAAGTCATTCACTCTAAGGATCATCTTGTTACACTTCAGTGGCTGATATAATATATTCATCCCTAAGGTATAATCTTGTTGCCTGATCATAGAGATACTCAACCCACAAGGAAATAGATGAGGCATCTCACTCTCACCTCTCCTAGGATGGTTGATTGATCTACCAGATTGAAAGCATTCGTGAAATCTATTGTGAGCATAGCACAAAGAGTCATCTCCACGTCGCTTGTTCAACACCATATTGGCATTGTGTAAAATGGCCTCATCACCATCCGATACTGCGATCACAAACTGAAAGTCATTGAGATATCATGCTACTTCTTTACTGACCCTTTTCATTGAAACCTTGAATACCGACCACCTCCAAATAAAATCACGTCAATTGATTGTATCCCATCATAGACTTCAATAACGACGTCAAAGGTGCAGAGACAAGAAACTCTATCAAATTCATCAGACATCTCCCTCATCATGCATTTATTTCTGTAAATATTTTTTTGTTTAGATTGAATCATTCCAATTTAATTTTGTTGCTTTTAATCTTTGACACAATTGTATTGGTTAGAGATTTTTCTTTTGCCACATTCTCATATAAACACTCATGAACATGAAAAAGTATATTTAAATCCGATTCTTTTTTATAAAATATTATTGCAGTCAAACTACTAAACTATAACAATAAATACATATGATGTTAACGACAAGCAACAATAGTTTTTGAATTTAACTTACTAAAACTACAAAATATTATAATTACATTAATAAAACCATATTTAAAACTATAATAATAATAAACCCCATTTGTAATGACCATGTTATAGATTCAATTCTTTCTTTTCATTAATACTAAAATAAACATAATATACATTTTTTTCTAATAATGATTAATGATATTGTGCTGCATAGCATATTTTCATGTAAATAAATAAACTAAAATAATTATAAACCACCTTCATGGTTCACAAGAGTTTAAACTGCAATTTAAATCTAATAATAATGCTTTTGAACTTGTTGAGTGACTTGAGTTCATGTCTTTCTGAAATTGGCTATTCATATCAAACATTTCTGAGAACTTTGCTTTCTTCAACTTGTTCTCATTAGATGAATCATCTTTCTTCAACTTGTTCCCAAAAGATGAATCATCATGAGGCTCAGTGAGAGACGCAGACATCAGACACGACACTGGAAATTCCAGTGAATTAGAATCGAAATTTTCGCACTCTCTCCTATTTCTTCTATTGAATTTTTCTCCTTCTTTTCTTTCAGAGCTTTCAGAAGATGTTAAAGAACTTTCCAATGAGCACATAGTTCCACTTTTCTGTTTCCTCTCACCACATTCTAAACTTAATCCTCTTGACCTGTTAGTTCTGAGATTGGAGAACTTGACAAGCATTGTTTATCATTGCAACCAATTGAGAGAGTTCATCTTTTGTGAATTTTATACCAATTGGAGAAGAATTGAATCCTGAAAGTGTTTCTTGTGCCTTCTTTAGTACCAATTGTAAATACTTTCCTTGAGCTTCAATCGAAAGTTGCAAACGTTTTTGCACCTAAAAAAAACCATCAATCAAATCGTCTAACACATCCTTATCACATGTCTCAATTGACAATGATTTAGCAAAATCAAATATGCCAAATCACCGTCAATCAAAACATGTCCGAAACAATTTATAATCATGATCACATAGTTAATAATTTTATTACCTCAATTTGTTCATAAAGTTTTCTCTCTACTTCCATTTGCACTTCAAGAGCATGAGCTATCTCCATGTTTCTGAAAAAATAAAACAAAATTTCAAAATAAAATCTCTAAAAAAAAGAAAATAATCAAATATTTGATAATAAATTTCTAATGATTATTACTCAGTTATTTGATTATGGTCCACAAGACTAATTTCCTTGCCACAATTATCATCACTCCTCTTAATTTCTGTGTAAACTGCACCACAAGAAGCATCAATGAGAAAATACATTTACACAAAAATCAAAATCAATTTTAAACAATCTCGACCGTTATTTTGAGATCAGAAAACTCCGCGACAACGAAGATACTATCATGCTATAACAAAACCTATTTCCCAACAAGTCACCCTTGTTGTTGTCAGAACATGTTTCCAGATGCTGTTGGCTTTTCCCAAGTCTATATTTCTATAACAAGAAAAAAAACATGAAAAAATCACAAATTCTAATATCATATTTCAATAAACAAAAATAATTAATTATACTATACAAAAGGGAAATAAATGCCTGTAAATGGCTCTTGAGATGGTACAAAGTAAGTCCTGGAACTTGCATCACTCTCATAATACTCTTAGGTGTTGCTTCTGTCATATGAATAATTCAAATTTAACAATGATATAAAAATATTACCATAAGATAATTTAATTATTGAGTTTGTTTTGTACTTACTTTCTGCACCCCCCAAGTTGATTAATTGCATCAATGAATCTTTGGTGAAGTTCATGAGTCCATTTGAGTCTTGGTTTTGCATCACTTGATAGAACAAAATGCATACTTTGATTATTCTTCATCTTTTGATTCTTTTACATTTGCATCAATAAATGGAAGGTATAGTTGTTGTATGAGGAACACTAGTGGGGTTAAGTTGGGGGAATATATATATTATAAGCCATTCATAGTATTTTTTTTTTCTTTTTTATTTTTGAAAATGAATTATTTTTACACTTTTTTCTTTGACTTAAATGGGGTGAAGAGAATCTATGATGAAAGAAACAATTAGATAGAAAGTGATACAGCTCAATTTTGAATCTTGAAAGGAGAGAAAAAGAAGGAAAGTGTGAAGTTTGTTTTATTTTCTTGTTTTCCCACTTTTACTCTATGTATGGTTGATTCCATGATAAATTAGGTGGGTCCAGTGTAATGAATAATAGGTTTTTACTTTCTTGATGGCTAGAGAAGATTTCAGGAGAAATAATGATGGAAAGTGATTAAAATGAAATAATCAATCAGTTTTATATTGAAAAAGTTATCATTAAGTTAGTGAGTTACATATAAAAATATGATTAAATTTATTTATTTAAACTTATTTATTAATATATATTTTGTAAAATTATTTTTTAAAATTTACAAAAATAACTTATAATGTTATTCATAAATTATTTTTAATTTACTCAGATAAATCTTTTAATATATTCGATAAAAATAAGTTATAGTATCACGTAAAAAATTTAATTTAATTTAATTTTAATAATTTATATATAAATATGTCTCAAAACAAATATTTATTTTCTTGAATTATTTATTTATAAATAATAATAATTTATTTATATTAATATATAAATATAAATAAATGTTGCCATCAAAAGTTAAATCATAGACAATAATTTAACCAGCAAATTTAAGAGTTAAGCTATCTCATCCACCCAACAAACGACTGTGTTATAAGTAGGATTGTTTAAAAAATAATAGACATGTTATATTTGATTAATAAAATTGATTCATATTGTACAAACAATTTTAAAAATAGATCAAACAACAAATAAATTGAAAAAAGAAAAAGAAGCTAAAAACAAATTTAAACTTTTTAATTAAAATTTTCAAAAAGTATAATAATTTTGGCTTAGGAAAAAATATCTTTTATGAAACCAAATAATTTTAATTCAATTTTAATTATGTTGAATTTGATATTTTGATCGGATTGTACCTAGGTTTCTTTTTCAAACCGAATGCATATTCTTCACCTATTTTTTGGCCGGTGGGAAAAATGTAATCACTCTCCCCTTGAATTTCAAACACAATCTTTCTTTCAAATGTGAATTTAGCTTTTTCTTGTATGAGAAGATGTGTTTGTTTGCGGTGTAATTGGCAGGTTCCTTTTGTTTCATGCAAGGTTAGAGGAATCAAAGAATCTAAGGACTAAATTTTTGGTCCCACTGCCTTCTTGTTTCAACAAAGATAGTAATACAAACATGACAGAAAACTACTAAGCAGTATTTTTAAATTTAGATCAAGATGTGAGTTCCTATCAAAGTTACACTAATAGAATATTGAATACGTGTATTTTCAAGACACTTAACATATAATAATATATTAGATTATCCATAAAAAAAGAATTGCAATCACAAAGTTAATCAAAAGGGACCATCACTCACCACAGAGAACAGTTTATTGCTTGTCATGACATTACTAAGCACTAATTCAATCAATTTGTAGGGTCATGCATATCATTACTTAATATAATCCTTTAATTTTAAAGCTGTATTCCATCAAGGATTTGGTTGGAATTGAACCATAATATGAGTCTATGGCAAAGTTAAATTAATGAAAAATAGTATATATTCTTGTTGCAATAATAAAAATTATTTAACTTCTAAATTTTATTTTTAAACAATGAAATATTGTTTTAAATAATTTTTTTGGTCTATACAAATATAAATATAATTGGTTTTGTTTTTACAATTTGTAAAAAAATTTAAGGTATACTATCACTTTATATCCTTCTATATAGGTGATTTATGATTTACTCATATAAAAAAAAAAATATAATTTTAAAGCTTATCACGTTTGTTTCTTTGAACTTTTGAGTGAAATGACACACTCCAAATACTTATGTGTCCTGCTCAGTGACAATTTTATATTATTTTTCAGTATTTTTAAACTACACATGTGTTAACTTATGTTATGTAACCATTTACTCAATATTTTAATTTTTTGAGCATTAAAATAAACCGAAGCTTCTCGTCCCCCTCATCGCTTTCAAAGAAAAACAAGAACATGAAGCTTATTCTTCTTTTCCATAGTGCGTGTCATCTCCTCCATCATCTCCTTCGAAGAAAAGCAAGAAACCTGAAACTTATTCTTGTTCTTATGTCGTGTGTTAGCTAGTTAGGGTTTCAAAATAGGTGGTAGTAAAAATTCTTCAATTGAGAATTCAAATGCAAGAGAAATACTCAAATGTGGTTGCAATCTATTGATGAAGATGTGAGATTCTAACACCCAAGAAAACCCTAAGAGGAAGCTCTAAAGATGCATAAATTTTGGAAAGGTACATATTATTCGAAATACCTAGAATTTTTGTAAATCTCATTCTTCCACAATTTCTTGATGTCTCAGTTGTTGTTAATTGCCGAGTGATATAACTTGTGACTTGTTTATATGGGACGATAAAGTTGATGAAATGCCATGGAAATATAAAAATAAGTCAGTGTCCAAAAATGCATATACTAAGTGCAACAATTGTGAAGATATATTTGATTATCTTAAAGTATTTGACAAGGATTTTGTGAAGGAGTTTGCCAAAGAATTTAACAAAGAGTTAAGCTCAAAGAAAGTTGAAAATTGAAGAAGATGATGCATAACGAAACAGAGATATGTTATTGTGTCATGGTTATTGTTTGGTATTGTCTACAAAATGATGTAATTTCCATTTAGTTTTAGTGCCTCTAAAATGCAATTTAATGATGTTTTAGAACCTATGAATTTCAATGTAATGTTAATGTTGGTTTAATAAATAAAAGATATTGAGATATGCATTAAAATTGTTGTAATGATATTAAACTTGTCATAAAATAAAACATTACTTAAAGCATTCAAAATATCATTACATAACAAAGAAGTACAAAAGCATAACAAAAAGACTTAATTATGAAACCGTCTTAACAAAAAAGCACTAATTGTGCATATGCCTTAATAAATAGTAATTAATTGTTCAACTGTCATAACCAATTTAGTCAAGATCGAGATATGGGTCGTAAGGTCATAAGATCTTACAATATGAAATTTTCGTTTAGTGCTAAGATCTTACAAAAAACTTTTTTGTGTGCTTTTGTAGTCAAGATCGAGATCTTTAAGGTAAGATCGTAAAAACCATAGTGTTGGGCCTCTTTTGTTTTACTTTCTAACCGCGTCGGATTTTTTTAAGTGAACCTGATTTTTTTGTTTTACTTGAGTTCTCTCTTTCCTAACCCTAAAACACAAAACACAAAACGATTGCGACATTCATCCCTCTTACGATACTCTCCTCCTTTAACGAAAATCTGAAAATTTCCACCATCACCTTCGTCATTCTTCTCCCTCTGCTATCATCTATGTTCTTCTCCCTCCGTTATGATCCCCATTTCGTGTTCATCTTCTTCCTACCACTTTTGAGCTTATTAAATTAGGGAATGATGGTCATGAATTATTAATTAAATTATTTGAATGTTCTGATTTATAGGTTATCTTGTTCATGTATTATAATTTTCACGTTTTTATTCATGTGAAATACCATTTTGCCCTTTGATAAGATCCTAAGTGTCGTACTACGATCCTAGTTTTACGATCTTTTACAAGTCGTTCAATCCTATTTAAGATCCTGTGCTTGACTACCTTGGTCATAACAAATTCTGGTATTTCACTGAGTTAATCTCCTAGAAGTGCCATCCCAAGAACTCATTACCCTAACGCAAGTCCCTAGTTTAGGGTCTGGCTCAACCACAAAAATTTCTTAAGTCAAAGATCCATCTTCATCCTCAGGTAGTAGCATTGGGTCATCGTTGTTGATCTTAGCCCTTTAATTATTTTATTTTAAAAGTCCTCAATATGTCACTTGTTCTTTTGGTAACCTTTTTTTCACCTTTTTTGTTGTCTTTGGATCTTTCTTGACGGGAAGACTTCTTCTATCCTCATCAACATTTCCAAAGTTTGTCTAAAACATATCATCAGTTTCACCAATTATCTCAATATCAGCTTTAGGTGCAACCTTCATGATCCTTTTTTTATTTTAGCTTCTTTGGTTATGGATGTGTGATAAGGGCCAAATTGTGTTTATAATCAGTAGTATTTTATGGCCCTTTTCACTTGGTTTAATTGGAATTTCATGTCAAAACCTTAACTTTAATGTAAATAATTGGTTTTTAGTTTTATCGTGTAAATATCATATAGTTTGATCATATTCATTTCATTTTGTAGGTTTCATTGCATTGTTGAAGCATTGGGCCTTTCAAAAGGCAAAAGAAAATCTTCAAGATGCAGTTTTGGATGGAAATCAAGAATTTTGGATGCATTGGCATGTTGATACAATACAAAATACTTTTCCCACTTAAAATAGTTTTAATTTTGGAACATAAATGATATCGCATTAATCCATATGGAGACAATACAAAATACTTTACCCACCTAAAATACACTTTCATCAAAATGGCATTGTTGTCGGGGATTGGCATTTAGATATTGAAAGCATTACAATATTTCTATTATTTTAAGTCATTTTGATACTGTTAATATTCATTATCCCTCGTGTTTGTTCATTTATGTGACTAGTAGTTCAGAATTATGCGTATGTGAGGAAGTTTACCGAAAGATCAACTTCTTTTTGATCTTGAGATTGAAAGAACAATTCGAAAACTTAATAGCAAAACCAGAAAGCGAAGGCAACTAGCTAAACAAAGGAAACAACGAGAAGGAACTTATACTTCTACTTCTTCAACAACTCTTATTATTGAAGAAGTCATGGCTGAAGTAGTCATTGCTCGAGGTCCATGTGCAAATAGCCTAAGAAGGACTAATCATATTGTCAGACATACACAGAATA